TAATCTTTTGTCAATCAGTATTTAGTATAAATTTATATTTCTTGCAATTAAAAAATAATTCATCCTATCTTTATAGAGGAGACAGCCTGGAGGATCAACGCAGTAACGATTCGAAAATAGCAAATTACACTTGTCAGGTATTCTCATTGGACCCCGGAGCTAACGCTCTGGGTTGGGTTCAGGAGAACTTTATTGATAAGCCAGCTCCGTCTATAGATTCTGAGACTGGGAAGAGTTTGGAGGTTTCTCCTGAGCATATTATCCATGAGGTACTGGAGCACTCCTGTTATCTAATGCAGACAATAAGGATTGGGAGTACGGAGTCCTTGGTTTTTTTCGACCGTGGAGCTAATATTCACATCATTGATGGTTCTTTAGCGGAGAGGGAAGGTTTGCAGAAAGTATCCAGTGATCCTACCAGTCTCACGGTAGTAGGAGGAAACAGAGTAAAATCGAACCATGGGACATTCAGGTTCAACCTGGGACCCGGAGATAATGGGGAGTTTCACGAGGTTGTATGTGTGGGAATGGAGGATGTTACCGGAGGTTTTGGAGTGTATGATCTGTCTGAGATATGTAAAGAGTACAAGGAACAGATGGGAAGTGAGGCTGATGATGTTGTACTTCCCCAGAAAGTTGGTGGGTCAAAAGTTCATCTCCTACTTGGAATCAAGAATACTAACCTGGATCCAGTCCTGGTTAAAGTACTACCATCAGGAGTAGCTGTCTACTTGAGCCCCTTCAAGGATATTTATGGGTCAAGGCTAATATTTGCAGGCCCTCATAAATCCTTTACAAAAGCCGATGGTGGAGTAAAAACAGAAATGTCAAATGCTGTTTTTTTGATTAGGGAAAGGGTGTATGAAGATTTTGAGGGAGAACCTGAATCTAGATGTTTTTCAATTACAACAGACAGAAAGTTGGGATTCACAGTGAGCCCACATCCAATTGGTGAAGAGGACATCCTAGATTCTCATGGAACTGTACCAGAGCAATTCGAGGAATCCCTGGATGATCATGAGAGATTGCTGGAGTTACTGGAAACATTGGACGTGTCCTGCATCCAGCACTTTGGCCGTGCAAATATTAAAAAGTTTGAATCTATAAGCTGGGGTATAGGATTGGGAGCAGGGAGTTTGAAGGGTTCCATGAAGGATTTTATCTTTCCTGAGGATGGAACCTACAAAGCCCAAGGTCCTGAGGAGGCTCGAGGGATGATGACTGAAGGGAATTTGGCAAGTAGTGAGAGTTTGAAGGACAACGAGGTAGAGTACCATACTTTGAACCACGGTGTCCACAAAGCTCACGTGCCTATTGCAAAGTTCAGGAACGCACTAGATGATGAGGATTCCCATGATAAAGCAGGTTTCCGATGTGCAGATTGTGCAAAGTGCTTAACCTGTAAGCTATCCAACAAGAAAACTGCTATATCATTGAGGGAGGCTAGAGAGCAAGAATTTATTGAGCAGAGTGTGAGGATAGATATAAAACAAAGGAAAGTGTTGGTGAATTACCCTTTTTTAAGAAATCCGGCTGAATATTTATCTTCTGTTCACAATGGTTCTAGTAATTATAGTCAAGCGTTGAAGGTGTACAAGCAACAGTGCAGGAAACCCGATGCTGTAAAGGAAGGCATGAGGAAGGTACATGAGGATCTGGTTGAGAAGGGTTTCATGATCAGATTGGTGGATTTAGAAGAACACAAGAGAACGCTGATAGAGAAGGCTCCATTCCAACACTTCAATCCCTGGAGATTAGTGATGAAGATGGATTCCATGACAACTCCTGTCAGGATGGTCGTTGATCCTACAATGACTCATTTCAATGAAATATTGGCCAAAGGAGAGAATAGGATTGGATTGATCTTTACCATTATGATAAGATGCAGATGTCTAGAGTTCATATGGAGCTCGGATATAAGCAAATTATATAACCAACTGTTTATGGATGACTACTCGTTACCATATTCTTTGTTTCTGTACGGGAAGGAATTGGATACCCTGAGGGACCCCGAGATTTGGGTCATGGTCAGGGCTTGGTATGGGATTGTAAGCACCGGAGGACAGGCTGGGTATGCGTTAGACAAGCTAACGGAGATGATGTCGGAGGAGTTCCCTGAAGCATATACAACCCTGAGGGAGAACAGGTATGTGGATGATTTACTTTCTGGAGCGGATACTGAAAGCAAGAGAGAAAAACAGATTTCTGCAGTGGAAGAAGTACTGAAGAGAGGAGGATTCTCACTAAAGTTTGTGGTCAAGAGTGGAGAAAAACCTTCGGAGAAAGCAAGTTCGGATGGTGAAAGTATGAAGCTGTTGGGGTACAAGTGGGACCCGGAGAGGGATGAATTGTCTCCTGGCCTGGGCGAGTTGAATCTCAATAAAAAAGTACGAGGAGAGAAGAAACCGAACACAGAGCCTATCTGTACCATTAACGATGCAGAGAGGTTATTATCTGGAACATTACTAACAAGGAGTTTGATAGTAGGGAAAATCTCTGAGCTGTTTGATCCTTGTGGATTCTTTGAGCCCATCAAATTACAGATGAAATTACTGACAGGTTCTCTGAAAGGAAAGGATTGGGATGAAATTCTCCCAGAAGAAGATCAGGAAGTTTGGAGGGATATTTTGAAGGGTTACGTAGATCTACCTAAGATTGCTATACCAAGGTTTTGTCTGCCAGGTAAAAATGAATCCAAATCCAAGATAAGACTGCTATGCTTAGCTGATGCTGCAGAATTTGCAGGGGGCGCAGCTGTCTATGCAGGGAAAGAAATAAGCCCTGGCATCTGGACATGCTCCCTCTTAGCTGCAAAATCAAAAATGATGAAAGAAACCATTCCAAGAAATGAATTGTCTGCTATTTTGCTGTGCGCAGAGCTAACATTTATGATAAAATCAGCCTTGGGATCGGAAGTAGGCGAAATAATTTATATAACTGACTCAACCATAGCCCTCAGTTGGTGTAGTAATGAGTCTATCAAGCTCCGCTTATTTGTGTACAACCGGGTTATGACCATTTTGAGGCTATTTGAATGGACTACAGGATCCAAGGATAATCCTTTATTTCATATAGATGGCGCGCTGAATTTAGCCGATTTATTAACAAAGAAACATGACCTCAGGGTAAAAGATGTGTCCAAAGGTTCAGATTGGATTGAGGGACTGAACTGGATGAAGAGAGACAAATCTGAAATGCCGTTGACATCTTACAGGGATTTGAGGGTTGATAAGACAGTGGAGGAGAACGTAAAGGTAGAATGCTTTCCTGATTCCTTTATGGAGAAATTTTCCTCTACTAGTGATGAGAGGGATGAAGGTTTAGAGACTATTACAGATGAGACTGATGATGGAGATACAGAATTTTCCGTTCTTGCCGCTGTAGCGGGCAGGGGTGTAGCGGAGCTACTTGTAGATCCTGTGTTTCAAGGCTGGAGAAGAGCTTTAAGGATAACTGGCTATTTACAAGGATGGAGGGTAAAGTATTGCCACAAAAAACATTTAATCCCAGATGAGAACTGCAATCTATGCAAGTTAGGAGAGCACCGATGGGATCCGAGAAATGAGGAGGAAAAGGCGGAGCAATACCTGTTCAGATGGGAGTCAAAAAGAGTGCAGAGCAAGATGAAGCCCAGAGAGCTGGACAGATTTATTATCCAGGAAGGTATTGTGTATGATAAAGGCAGGTTATCCCCTGAATTTCAGTTTAGAACCACAGATCTTGATCAAGTAGGATATCTGGACAAGCATGAAATATTAGGCCAAGTTCCTGTGGTTCTCCCTGATTCACCAGTTCTATATTCATTTCTAATGTATATTCATACTAAATCTAATCTTCATGCATCATTAGAGGTTACTGTGAGAGAAGTACACAAGAAAATGAAGGTAGTGAAAGGTCTAAGATGGTTAATAAAGAAGATTATCTCAGATTGTTTGAAATGCCGTCTGGTAGAGAAGAAAACATTGGAGTTAAGGTTAGCAAATCACCCAGAGGCGAGGACAGTCCTTGCTCCATGCCTCCATTCATGTATGATGGACATCTGCTATGGCTTCAAGGGACAATCATTCAAAAGATCTAGAACTACTGTCAAAGTGTATGGGTTGGTCGTTGTATGCTTGCTGTCTGGGGCTACAAATATTATGGCGCTAGAAGGCATTGAGACTCAGGATGTTTGCGCTGCACTGGAGCGTCACTCTAATAGATATGGAGTCCCAGCATTTATTTACGTGGACAACGGAACCCAGTTGAAGGCATTGCAGTTTGCGAAATTTTCAGTACGAGACCTAGAGGCCCAAGTACAAGATAATCTAGGTATAAAAATAGTAGTGTCCAATGCTAAGGCCCACTCGGAGAGAGGACGAGTAGAGAGGAGGATTCGAGTCTTGAGAGAAACCCTGGAGAAGTTAGGAGTAGATGTTGCTACACCTATGACATGCATGCAGTGGGATACACTATTCTCGAGGATATCCAATTCAATAGATAACTTACCTTTAGCTAGAGGGGATACTTCTAATGAGTCCAGTCTAGGTTATGAAATTATCACCCCAAATAGATTGAAGTTAGGGAGAAACAATTATAGGTCTTTGGAGGGGAATGGGATTGATCTAGATATGAGCTCTAATTTTACCAAGATATTGGATAGAAATCGGTCAATTTACCAACAATGGTATCAGTCCTTTATAGACAATGTACATTTACTAAATTTACGTCCAAACAAATGGTTGAAATCAAGTCGGTTGCCTAATGTCAATGATGTGGTCATTTTTGTGTTTAATGACAGTAACTATACGAAAGAGTCAGCATGTTGGAGACTGGCTAAGGTTGTAGAGGTTCAAGGATCCAAAGTGGTTTTGAAATATGGTATCAAATCAAATAGGATGGGGCAAACTTTAACAAGGAGTGTAAGGGATATCAGTATTGTGTATTCTGTTGGAGAAATGTTAATTAACACTCGTGGTCATTTTGATGAGTGTTCTAAGCAAAGTAAAGATCCGGAGAAGTAATTGCTCCGGGTGCTCCATAATACTGATATCCAAAGTTTGCTGTGGGTCTGGGGGGGTTATTGTCATGAAACATGAGTTTGGCTTAATTTTAATCGCTGATGCAACCAGAAGACGTAAATTAGTTTATACATTGTTTATTAAATTTTTGATTTTTAGACTGTTGACAACAGAGGATCTCCGGAAGAGGATTGAGAGGAGATTGAAGGAGCAGAGGAGTGAAGTTTACAATCCTTCCATGACCATGTTGATCCCTCAGGAAGGAGAGAAGGTATGGGGAGAGAAGAGGCCTGGAAATAAGGTGGACATGGTTGCGGAGATTGTGGGCTACAGGCATCGGATTAACACTGGGAGGGATCAGGCCTGCATGCAGAGGTATATTACTAGGGTGTCCAGAGCTGGACTGGATCAACCTAGTGTTCTTAATTCTCGCCAGTTTTTACCTGTGGATGCTCCACTGTTGGATTTCTTGGTGGAAGATGCTAAAGGTGTTGAAGGTTGGAGATACCCCAAACTAGATGATCTGAAACTGTATCAAGCTGAGAGGGGATTGAACTTGAAGATGTTGGATAGGATCGAAGTTCGGGAGCTAGTGTGCGGTGTTAGTTCTGACCAGGAGATTGAGGAAACCCGAGAATGGATAAAGAAGATGCAGGGGTTGGATCAAGACAGGTTCTGCTCTCAGGTGGTTTCACTAGATGTTGAGGACGTCAAGACGACCTATTACGATACACTCCGGATGGCTGGTAAGCTCAGTATTGATCCTAAGAGAGCAGTTCTCCGGACTAGTGTAGAGACTGATCTAGCTCATGGTTATTCAAAGGACGGTTGGAAACAAGTACCGGGGAAAATCATGTTTGGTAATGGGATCACGTGGACTTGTTTGATCTCACTGGACCTGGAGATGAACGGATTGGGTGATTATGTTCTGAAGCAAGTGACTGTGCAGCCTGGGATTGTTGAGTTACTCCGTGACCTCCCTGTCTCTGCTGGATTAGCAATCCGGAGAGATGTACGGGGAATAGAGGAGTTCTACTCATTAGTCACTGGAATGGAGGTTAGACTGGAGCGGGGTTTTCTAGACCTAACTTCGTTGGCCATACTAGCAGGATACAAGTTTCACTCTAAGAACATGACAGCCATGGGGGTGCAGGTTCAAGGTACTCTACTAAACAAAACAGTTTCCACTGGAGATAATATGTGGGGTATCAGGTGGAGAGAGATTCCCAAGGCTCTACAATGTTATGCTCTGGGGGACATTAAATTCGGGTTTATCACATATAATGTTTTGGCTGGGCTACTGCTGAGAGATGTCTTCCCTGATCCTGATATGCTGTGTAGATATTTGAAGTGTGATCAAGGTGCTGCTGTGAGCTGGTTTCTGGAGTTTGTGATGATATCTCTAGAGGGAGTAGAATATCACCAGGTTGCAGAGGAGCAAGCTCAAACTCGAGATGAGATGGTTCGTTCGTTAAGGTTGAGAGATTGCAGAGAGAAGCTGTGTGAATTTTCTCCTCCCTATGTTAAGGTCTGGGCTGAGATACTAGGAGCGTGGCCCAGTCCTACTTTCGGGGGCTGCAGGTTTTTGTTACAATGCAGGGAATGGTTTGTAACACAGATGAGGATTATAGCTGGAGCCAAGATACAGTGGTCAGATGGTAGGGTGATCAGACAACCTAGAGATACTGATCTTGAGTATGCCAGGTTCGGGATGACTCCGGAGGAGATTGGGGAGCAAACCTGGATGGATCCTGTCTCTGGGATAAGAGGATTGAGGAGACCTGATGGAGTGAGGATTCCGCTTCTAGGTTTTGAGGTTTCTACAGCCAAGAGTACTGATATTGGGAGCAAGTGTACTGAGATAGGTAGATCTCAGCGATGGAGCCTGCTGGAATGGGCTAGAATGGAGCCGGAGAGGTTAAAGGGTTTCTTTACACGGATGACCAGAGACGTGGGTTTCCAGAGGTTCTATTGCAGTATCTATGATCCAATGAGGTTGTGCTACAGGAGAATCTTTGATGAACCTATTTCAAAGATTCCTGCCATGGATGATGCTCTGAACAAGGCGGTTCGTAACAACCTGAAGGATGAGGAGTCGGGTTTGGGGAAAGCCAGGGCTGAAGTCCTCATCAGAGAGAAGAGAGTGTCTGGGTTGATCAGCCTGACCAAGGACTGGGAGTTCGAGGAGAGGACTAGGTGGAGAGAGAATGTTCCTGTTCTTGCTGGCTGGAAACATCGCTCTGGACGAAAGAGGATTGGAAGTCAGTCTGGAGCGAAATCTGGTAAAGTAAAGAAGAGGAGGTTGAGGTCATCCAAGAATGGAGCGGAGGGTATCTCTGGTGTTGAAGCGTCAGGTCGGTCTCCGTCTCAGCCTGCTCCAGGCTTGCCTGGAGTTGGGAATGAGCTCGGAAACCTAGCCAACGGGCTTCACCAGGGGGAGGAGACGGAGGAGGTGGTTTTCTTAGACGAGAACGATGAGGTTATGGTTGAGGATGAGCCTGAGGCCGTGCCCTCTACTCTTAAGCCTGTAAAGAAGAGGTTGAGTTCTGCTTTGAAGCGTTCTAGCTCTAAGAAGGTTAGACCTAGGACATATGATGAGATGATTGAAGGTGTTGGAGACGAAGATGAGTTCCCTGATAATCTGGACTTTGAGTTCGAGATCCCGAAGGAGGTTGAGGATTTCGAGTTCTAGAAGAGGATCTCGCAGACAGTGATGTGGAAGTGATAAAGTGATTTTTCTTTTCAGGGTTGGACGATTAATAGAATGATCTCAATTCCAGTCGCGGGGTGCAGTTGAACTTTTTTCTTTTCTTCCTTGGTTGGCGAGTGTTTCGCGAGTTCCCTCACGACCAGTGTTTGAGTCAAGTTGCCCCTGTGAGGATCTGCATCGCCCCTGGGAAGCGTACTGTGTGTGCGTCTGTTACTGGTTTCTCGAAGTTTCTGCGCAGGCGCGAGTTTATATATAGTAACCAGTTTTATGATATAGCGTTTGTTTTTAATATAGTCGTGGTCAATGAGCGGGTTCAGGCATATGTCTGTCTCGTGATTAAAAGTTATTTCTGTTCTAATACGTATTTCCCCAGGATAAATGTGGTAAGATTTACGCTATTATCATTTTATAAACCTGAGTTTAATGAGAGTTTAAATTAATCATGTTTGTCGAGATTTTCAATGATTTTGTAAAGATGGATGTATAAAGTATTGTTCATGTTTTCGTATACAGCTACAGTTTTTTATGCCTAAAATGAAATGATTTTTGATCGAGTAATTTTAAGATTTATGATTCATTTATGTGCTTTTTCTGTAGTGATTTTTTTTAAGATTGAAGTACCGAAATATATATTGAGTTCGAGACTGGTTTTTTACTGTCGCAAAGATGAGCCAATCTCGAGAGAGAGGGACTTCCAATCAGTCCAGGAGGAATACGACTCGGTAACCATTTACGATGATCACTAGGGGTTGCGAAATATTCAATCACAGACCATTAGGGGTTAACACATAATTATTTTAACTTTAAAGAAAAGGTTAGAAACTTAAATTAGAGTTTCATCCTTTTTATCCCCTGATCCTCTTTGCATCTGCCAGATTAATATCAGGAAAGATTTCAAAGAGAGGGAGGATTTGAGATTCTTTAGCAAAAAGGGGATCTTAAATGAGAATTGAGGATTTTAAGATGGAATATTTGATTCTTCATGATCTTTTGTATCTGCCAGGTTAATACCCGGAAAGATTTCGAAAGTGGCGAAGAGTTGATTTCTAGAAATAAGGGGAGGTTTTACTATTTTCTTTGAGAGTTGAGTATTGATTTATCTTTAAATTTATTGTATTTGCCGGTTTAAAAAAACTGGAAAGATTTCAATGAATAATAGAGATAGAAACAGTTAGATAAGGGTGAATTCAAAGTCTAATACTAAACTCTGAGTATTGAGGTGTATAATGTTGGTGTTTCCTTGATTTCATTGGGTCTGCCAGTATATATAGTTGGAAAGACTGGATGAATAGCGGGATAATAAACCATGAGTAAAAATGTTTGAAAATTGCAATGAAATGAGTTGAATTAAAATATTGAAATCCCCAAGATCCCTTTGTGTCTGCTAAACTAATATTTGGAAAGACGTCAAAGAGGGGCGGAGATTTAAATTTTCTTGAGATTAAATAAATCTTTTAATTTGAAATATGAATGGTCAATCTAATCAACGGGGGGCATCCAGGAGAAGGTCTACGTCTGAAGGGGAGGGCGAACTTCTGAGTAGTACTTTAAATCTACCTGAAACCGTTGCAATCAACAGATTTTCCAATTTAAATACTGATAGATGTGTTTCTACCCCGCAGATTAATTTAACGGGGTTTATTGACGATACTTTTCGCAATAATAGGGGGACATGTCTAGAATCCAGAATCCAAACCAGATCAAAGGGGGGTTCTAATTCTGTTAATAGGAAATTGAGAGATGGCTACACCCTGCTCAAGGTTGCTATATTTGAGTGGGGGGAGCTTGTTTGCAATTCAGCACAAGCACTGGATGTCATAGAGCAACAATATAATAGATTCCTTGAGGAGATTCAGCAGAAAATATCGGAGGTTTTATTAACAAGGGGGGAGTTTCAATTAGTAGGGGAACTAGGCAGTCTAAAGGATAGGCTGAATTGGATTCGAAAGGAAGCCAAGAGATTAACCAGAACCATGCCAAATGATTCCAACTCTCCTAGTGCTCCTGCCCAAGCTTCTGAGTTCAATGCAGGGCTGTACCGAGGATCAAGGATAAGGATGGAGAATCAAGATTATGAGTTTCATGATGAACCTGTAAACCGAGATCTATCATCTGACCCAGAATGCACCCCTGTATCAAGGAGGAGAAGGGAGGCTGATTTGAGTAAGAATGTGAGATCAGTAATGGTTTGCGGATCAAGTACCGATCCTTCGGCTACAGATCCCACCAGACTGATCCTTCAACAAGATCAATTAATGTATCATACCCCAGCACGGAGTCCTCACTTTAGGGGATCAGTAGTAAATTCTGGGGCAGAGTGCATATCTACAAGATCTGAGCCTAACAGTATAAACAGTTCTCCTGTGCCTAATGCCAGAGGAGGAGATGTAGACTCTAATCAATCCTTGGAGAGCGTTCTAGTCGGGATTCAAGGTTTAACCAACAACTCTGAGAGGGGAGATATCGAAGGTACGGAGTATGAGGGGTCCTGGAGGGTTAGGATGAATGCTAGGCAGGATACATTTGAAAGGAAGTTTGATCAAATTCGTCGGGGAATGTCAACCATTGCCACTACAGTACAAGGGGCTGAATCTATGTACAGATCGATGCAGGAGGATATAGAAGTTCTGAAGTCTAATAGTACTGAAGTATGGGTGAGGCTAAAGTCGGATGAGAGAAGATTGGATAAACTCGAGGATACTGTAGTCAGAGTTGAACAAAAACTAGATGAAAGGATGGAGATGGTTCAGGACTGGTTTGTAGAACTCACTACTAGGGCTACCCCTGAGGTTCCTAAGGAGATTGTGGATTCTATCCAGGAAGTGATAAACGATAGTTCTTCCGGGGTTGCTATGCATAGGATGAGGGAGGAGATTGGTGAAATTAGGAACTCTCTAGACTCAAGCAGACATGCTACGGAAGGATTAAGGGGGTTAGTGGTGAATTTATCAGAGCAGGTTGCCAACACGTCATATCAGCCTATAACTATAGGACAGTACTCACCACAAAGAAATCCAACATCAGAGGAGAGTACGCTGAGAGAACGAGAGATCATAAGAAAAGGAATTGAACGAGCGGAGAAACAGCTCAGGCAGATTATCTTAGTTGATTCGGCGATTGATAGTAAGAATATCTCGTTGATCAAGAAGTTAAAAACTGTTGATGTTCCTTCAGTTCATACTGCAGTAGGAAATATTCAGAAATCACTGCAGAAATATGTTAAATTCCATGGGACGGATCATGAATATTGTGATTCGATTAATGATTTGCTGGACTCTGCAGAGAACTGGTGTCTAAGGATTGAAGAGCTCTACAATAAGGCTGAGGTTCATAGCATTAATACTTCAAAGGGTGATTCGGCTGATGTAGGTGTCTTCTCCGATAATGCAAAAATCACGGTGTATGAATTTCTTGAATCTGCTGAAATTGCATATTTGGGTTGGGGGAATTCTGTTCAAAAGGCGAATCGCTTATACAATAGGCATCTATCTGATGAGATCAAGAGCAAACTGATCAACATGTCGGACTCCTACATGGATATGAAGAGGTGGCTGGTCATGAACTACGGAGGGGTTTCGAGGATCATCAGTGATATTCTTAGTGATCTGAACCGTCGGAACAAACCTAATCCTACCAATAATAATGCAAAATACTCCTTTTATGCTTACATCTCCGGGGCTCTGCAGAGAATGGAGCGATTATCCAGAGTCAATGAGATTGATAACGTGGAGTTGGTTAATTGTCTGTACTCCAGGGCTACCCTGAACAGCTTATCCTGCATCCTACCATCAGAGGCGTATGCAGATTGGATTACTGAAATGACTAGAGCAGGATTGGATTACAAGAATCCTGTGGGATTGCCAGCCTATTCTGTGTTCAAGAGTCTGTGTATTATAGAGAGGAACAAAAGTGAGGGTTCGAGGGAGGCGGAGAGATTGGTGAACATGAAATCAAAATCTCCTAAATCTCCGAAATCACCAAGATCAAAAACAAAATCTGTTCACAAGGTTCTAGATGCTGGAGGGCACAAGTCTGATGAAGAGGTTCATTCTGGAGCTTTTGCAACAACATTCCACAATACCAAGTGGTACCAGGCCAACTTAAAATTCCCCTGTCCTTTGACCAATCATGCACATGAGATGAGTACCTGCGCTGAGTTTTTTTCACTCAACCCTGTTGAGAGATGGAGTAAAATGGATAAGGGTAAGATCTGTTATGCATGTTTATGTCCTAAAGATATCTGTGTAACCAGGCGGTGTAGTTTTGAGAGCCGGGTTCCTGAAACTTTGAAGTGTCAAGGATGTGTGTCCTGGGCTCAGTCCAAAGGTCTTGCTCCTCTTTCAATATTGTTCTGCAGACGAAAGGAACATGCTAACTTGAGGGCGTCATTCCAAGATATGAAGAAGGACCTGGAGAAGTATATTGGGAAGTTGGGAACCACTGTAGTGGACTCGTCAATCAAGTTTGCTGCAAATTACACTTATCAAGTGTTCTCATTGGACCCCGGAGCTAACGCTCTGGGTTGGGTTCAGGAGAACTTTATTGATAAGCCGGCCCCGTCCATCAATTCTGAGACTGGGAAGAGTTTGAAGGTTTCTCCGGAGCATATTATCCATAAGGTTCTGGAGCACTCCTGTTATCTGATGCAGACAATAAAGATTGGGAATACGGAGTCTTTGGTTTTTTTTAGCAAGACAAGGCGTGTGTAACCGACAACTTTAACATGGGACCATTTTAAACTTTAGTATTTAAACTAAACCCAGGAAACACTGAGCATCAAACCTAAAATGATTCCCACTGCAACTACTGGAGTGATTTTTGTTCTTCTTTTAGCAGTTGTGATCGCCAGGCCACAAGCGCCCACTGCTGCCAGTGAAGATGCTAAATATGCTTACAAAGGTCCTTTATTTAAACCTGAAGATCCAAATGTTTATGTTTATGATCCTAATAATCCTAACAAGGCCTGGAATTATCCTGTAAATACTGACGCTGCTCCTGCTGTATCTGTAGCTAGATCTGCTGCTCCCAATGCCGGAAATAAAGCAGCTCGAGCAAATATTCGAACCATCCAACTCCGACAAAGCTCTGCTCCTGCTCTGCCAGTAGTCCAGCAGTTCCCAGTAGTAGCTAGTGCGCCATTCCTTCCTCAGTTTCCAGTAGCAGCTAGAGCACCGGCTCTTCCTCAGTTTCCAGTAGCAGCTAGAGCACCGGCTCTTCCTCAGTTTCCAGTAGCAGCTAGAGCACCGGCTCTTCCTCAGTTTCCAGTAGCCTTCAACTCTCAGCCTGTCGTATTTAGGTCTCCAGCGAGTACCTCCCCTGCCATCCAACCCTTCACAGCCTTCAATCATTAAAATAACAATTTATCAATTGTTATCATTTTTATTTAACTATCGAATGTCTGAATTAAAGCATTTCAAAGTTACACACATTTGTTAGAGTTTAATAACCACCTGTTCTGAATAGCTCACAATTGTTTAGCTGGACATATATCAGTGTAAAAAAGCGACCATTGCAGTTTTCTTTGAATTGTTAAAATTGTTATGTTTCTTTTCGTATAATAAATAAAACCTAAAACAAGTTATATGTCTTTATTTTGAGATTAGGCTTATAAGTCATAATTAAATTAAACAAAATTTTCCAGTTATGCATAGATTAAAAGAAATATGCAGACACAATATATATATTTCAGTTTTTAAACTTCACATTTTATTAAAAAGAATACTAAACACAATGTTTCACGTATTATAACGATCCTAAAGAATCAGCTTCTGTATTTAAAGATTTTACTGTTTTTCTATATAACAAAATTTAAAAAAATTGTGTTTATAATTTTTTTATTCTTGTAAATTTTTAAAAATGCGCGAAAAAATATTATGATCCGCACAATTTTTTTTCTTTTGTTTTATACTGTACAAAGAGAAGATGCTCACAGATAAAGCCACACTTAAAAGTTAAAATAGAAGATGGACGCGAAGTGCCCAAAAAGTCTAGTTTATATATTTGTTTATATATACATATTCTTTCTATCTATGAATAACTGAAAAATTTTATTTTATATATAAAGCTGGGTCATGGTATGACACTTAATACCTAGATCTACCTTTAGCAAATAAATATAGGGATACATAATATATTCATGGATTTAATATATATATATATATATATATATATATATATATATATAAAGATATCTTGATAAAAGAAAACTACTTGTAGATATATAGTGCTTAGTAAATGAAATATTTGGAAGTATAAAGAGTAATTTTAAGTGACCCTCCAGCGCAAAGAACCAATGCCCGATTTTATACAGTAACCTGTAAAACTTTGTCTATTAAAGTATGAATTAGATATCAATTGTTTTAATTATGAAAACTAAATATTCTTAGCTGTGGTTTCTCCACCTAGAATACTTTAAAACCTGGAAAAACGGAATGTCTTATTTAATATTGATCAAATAAAGGCTTTGCCATCTTTGTATGGAGGGTCATGCACTTGAAATTATGCTTACACAGTCTCTTTCAGAATTTTCTTAGGGTTTAAGGTCTCAGTTTGATTAGTCTCTTTGAAAAAGCTTACATTACAAGATTTTCAGTAAATTTAGGTGTAAGAAGCGACTTTCGTTAAAAAGAGGAAAAAATACAAGTCATTTTACATTAATTGGAACGGTTATATGTAGGAAATATTTCATAAAAGTACAAACCCTCTGAGAAAAGGAAGTTGAGGCAAAATTATGAGAAAAGGTCAAGGGTATCAAGTAACTATATGAGAAAAGGTCAAGGGTATCAAGTAAATATATGAGAAAAGGTCAAGGGTATCAAGTAAATATATGAGAAAAGGTCAAGGGTATCAAGTAAATATATGAGAAAAGGTCAAGGGTATCAAGTAAATATATGAGAAAAGGTCAAGGGTATCAAGTAAATATATGAGAAAAGGTCAAGGGTATCAAGTAAATATATGAGAAAAGGTCAAGGGTATCAAGTAAATATATGAGAAAAGGTCAAGGGTATCAAGTAAATATATGAGAAAAGGTCAAGGCTATCAAGTAAATATATGAGAAAAGGTCAAGGGTATCAAGTAAATATATAGAAGGAAACGCTAGTATATAGATACAGGATCACCCACAACGTCTGAGACTGGATTAAACGAGTGTACGAATGTTATTCAATCTTAAACTTTTAAACTCCAGCGAGGGTTTTCAACGCAAGTGGATTTTACTTGGGCGGAATTGCGAGTCCATTAATCGTTTTTTGTTTCGTTTTTCTATCGTTTTGAACTTTTAGAAAACGAATAACGATCGTTTTAGAAAACGATCGTTTTTATACGATTTTTTTAAAAAATGTTCGCTTTAGAAAAAACGATCGTTTTTGAAATTTTTTTTTTTTTAAATTATGTTAACAATCGTTAACGAAGGGTCGTCGTTAACGATCGTCAACGAAGGGTTGTTGTTAACGATCGCTAGCGAAACGACGAACTTTATTAAAACGGTCGTTTTTGAGAAAGAAAAAAAACATGCAACTTTATTGAATGTCGTCTTACATGAAGTTAAAAAGTTGTGAGTGAGCTTAAACTTCTTGATATTTTCTCAAAAACTACTCAATGATAAGTACAGATGCCCTTCAGGTCGGTTTTGTTTCTTTCTTCTTAAACGATCATTAACGAAGGGTCGTCGTTAACGATCGTTAACGAAGAGTCGTCGTTAACTATCATTAACGGAGGGTTGTCGTTTACGATCGTTAACGAGATGACGATTTTTATAAAAACTATCGTTTTTAAAAAATGAACTTTTTCCTGGAAAATATGAACTTTCGTCTTCATTATCAAAAATCCTCGAAACAGAATAAATGTTTTCAATAGAAACTCTCATGATCATGAAAAAAAATAATATGAAATATCAACTATATATATGCGTAGAAAATGTATCGATGACAATGTACTGCAATATCTGAACTACCATTTTTAAAAAATGAACTTTTTGAAAAAATGAACTTTTTGAAAAAATGAACTTTTTGAAAAAATGAACTTTTTGAAAAAACGATCGTTTTTAAAAATGGTCGTTTTTAAACATTAAACAATAAAAGAACAGGCGTAATTTTATGTGACCATCCATGTAAAGAGTGGCATGTCAAACTCACGATAGTACCTTTTGAACCGCTACAAGATTAACAATCATGAATATATTTTAAAAACGACCATTTTTAAAAAATGAACTTTTTGAAAAACCGATCGTTTTTAAAAACGATCGTTTTTTTACATAACGAAACGATCGTTTTTTTACATAACGAAACGATCGTTTTTCAAAAAAATGAAATTGTTAACATCCCTTGAACATCCCTACTCGCAATACACGAGATTTAAGTTAAATTACGACCATACATTTATTAAATTTGGCAGATTAACAGGATATCAAGAAAATGACTCAATATATATTCTTTACAGTCGTCTCTGAAGTCTCATCCTCTACGAGCAACCCTGAATTATCTACAAGGTGTCCCACGAAACATGACAGTAATAAGACGAAAGTCGTCTTTGATCTGTTAATTTATTTGTATATATTGTCAATATATTAGCTGGGTTTGAACAACCAATTTAAACATTTTTAGGAAGACGACATTATTGTTATCAAACGGGCAATTGATGATGTTGTAAAGCAAATAGTTTTACTAGTATTTTGAAAATCAACTGTAGCCAAGAAATTTTTTACGCTTTATGATTTGTGTGTTATGTTAATTGGAATATCTGAAATCATAACTTGATTTTAAAGAGAGTGTTCGCAAAAAAGTAAGGGGTCATAAGCTTACGGCGAAAAATATGCGCTTTTGATTGCTACTAATCTTACTTCTATCTGTCGCGTCTATGATGAGAAAATTGCTAAAAACGACTAATACCGAAGAGCGTAGCGTCCATATTCAGAAAGATGCAACATTAGATTTGAATCGTAAAAAAACAATTTAATTGCAAACAAATCATTCAGATATTGCAGTACATTGTCATCGATAACTTTTCTACGCATATATATAGTTGATATTTCATAATATTTTTTTTCATGATCATGAGAGTTTCTTTTGAAAACATTTATTCTGTTTCGAGGATTTTTGATAATGAAGACGAAAGTTCATATTTTCCAGGAATGTTCGAAAATCCAGCGCCAGCAAAATATTATTTTTAAAAAAATCAAAAATATTATGAAATATTATCTATATACAAATGCGTTGAAAACAATCGATGACTATTGTTTGTAATATCTGAATGATTTGTTTGAAATTAAATTGATCATTTTACGATCCGAGTTGAATGTTACAACTTTCCAAATTGTATGGACCCTACGTTCTTCGGTATGAGTCGTTTTTAACAACTTTTGTTAGACTAGTAGCGATCAAAGCGCTTATTTTTCGCTGTAAGCCCCCCTTTCATTTTTTGCGAATACTCCCTTTAACAGTTGTCTTTCCATTCCACAGTTCCATGGATCTCACTTTATTTTTTATGTATTCTCTCTGTCTTAGAGTTGTATTGTAATGTTCTCGAAATTGAATTTATTTCCTCTCTCTCAATCCATTGAAGAGGCCAAACTAGTTTTAATTCAATTGTGTGCAAACATTTATTTCTCTTTTTTTAAATGTGCTTAATATTATATATACACTATATAGCTGCACACACGAAATTTTTCGCCACCGGATGAACAAACGAATTGGATCGTTCAGGGAAATAAAAAGAATTGTTTTGTTAACGATTGTTCCCATTTAGCATTTATAAGTCAGACCGTTAATAAAAGATTTCTAAATCGTAAGTTCAAACAAACTTTAAAAATTTAGCAAACAATTTATTTGAACAGATTTTGAACAGCAATCATTTTTTTACAACACAAAAGATTTTTGTAATAAACTTTAGAAAACGATTTTTTTGAACGAAGATTTTACAGAATAAACTATAAAATTAAACGATCGTATAGTTAGAAAACGAAAAAAATGGATTAAAAATTAATGATAATTCTAAAAACAAACGAATTCAAATTCTTAATGAATGGCTAAAAAACGATCAATGGGTTGATACCGAGCAATTAAAGAACGAATTGAAAATAACGAAAGTGTCCAATTCTAAGTCTACGATAGTGTAATCGTTTCTTTTTAAAACGAGATTTTCAACTTGTCTTAAACTCTTGAGTTTTGCCTTAAATTCTTTTTATATATTAGCAAGACTAGTGCCAATTTCAAATACATTTTATTTATATCTTAAAGAGAAGAAAACTTCAAAAATATTCCTTTGTTTGTTGGTAACTTATACCTTACCAAGTCTAAAATACATGAAGAATATATAATTTCTATTTCGTATGCAACTTTCTTGCAATATACTTTATAAATTTATTACCAGCGACTATAAATGTAAGGGTAGCAAACACTATGAATTCCTCATGAATTAATATTCAATCTAAATGGTGTGAATAAGTTCAAATAAAAGCTGAGGAAGGACTAAACACTATAAATACATGTTTACACTGTATACTCAGTGTGTAATATTAGAAATCAATTTTGTTACCATAACACAAAATAACAGAGAGTAAAAACGGTGTTGGTTCCAGAATTTA